CTCTCTCTCTCTCTCTCTCTCTCTCTCTCTCTCTCTCTCTCTCTCTCTCTCTCTCTCTCTCTCTCTCTCTCTCTGAGATAAGGTCTCACTTTTTAGCTCTGGCTGGGCTGGAACTCACAGAGATCCATCTACCTCTGCCTCCTGAGTGCTGAGATTTAAAATGTGTGCTGCCACACCTAGTAATGGTAGCCCAGACTGGCTTGGAACTTGTGATCCTCCTGTCCCACCTCTTCAGCATATCCTATGGGCATGAATTAATCCTTCTTTAAAAATATTTTTTTTCATTGTTTATTTGTCTTCTAAGGGTTTTTTCTCCTACAGTGTATGCTGATTACAGTTTCCCCTCCCTCCACTTGTCCCAGTTCCTCCCTACCTTCCCTCCTCTTCCGATCCATTTCCTTTCAGTCCCTCATTAGAAAGGAACAGGCTTCTAAAAGATAACACCAAACATGACAAAAGAAAATATAATAAGATGAAGCAAAAAACTTCCATATTGAAGTTAGACATGGCAATCCAACAGGAGGAAAAGAAAGAGCAAGCAAGAGTCAGAGAACCATAAACATACTAAGCCAACAGCGATAATATATACACAGAGGACCTGGTATAGACCCATGTAGGCCCTATGCTTCATGCCTCAGTCTCTGTGAGCGCATATGTGCCTTGCCTAGTTGATTTAGATGACCTTGTTCTTCTGATGTCCTCCATCCCCTCTGACTTTGACAATCTTTCCTCCTCCTCTTCTGCTGGATTCCCTGGGACCTGAGGGGAGGGATTTGATGGACACCTCCAACTTAGACTCTCTGTATCATGTCTGGCCTGCATCTGTTCCCATCTGCTGCCAGTGGAGGCCTCTCTGATGATGACTGGATAAGGCACTGATTATGAGTGCAGCAGAACACCATTAGGAGCTGTTTATTGTTTGGTTTTACCCTAGATTTTTGGACTATCAGTCTCTGATACTTGGTTACCCAAGCGGTATACTATATGGGCTCATTCCTGTGGAATGAATCTTAAGTCAAATCAGACATCTGTTGGCCACTCCCACAAGTTCTCTGCCACTCTTACCCTAGCATATTTTGCAGGCAGGACAGATTGTAGGTTAAGGTTTTGAGGCTGGGTTGGTGTCCATATTCCTCTTTTGGTAAGTCTGTAGAGTACCTTCCTGTCCCAAAAAAACTAGAACACGGGGTGAAGGTTCCATGTAGGCACAGTTTGACTTCTCCATGTTCAACAAGTTGTCTAAAAGTCGTTGGCAATTAGGCCCACTGTGGCTGTCGGTTTGTGGAGAGCAACCCTTTCTCTTGGCATCAGCTTGGGCTGTATGTGGGTTTCCATGGAAAATTTTCTTCTATGGATTTGTTGAAAATCTTTTCTGGGCCTTTGAGCTGGGTTTCTTTTTCTTCCTCTATCTTTTATTCTTAGGTTTAGTCTTTTCATAATGCCCAGATTTCCTGCATGATTTGTGTCAGGAATTTTTTAGATTTAGCATTTTCTTTGACTAATGTATTCATTTCTTCTATTGTAGCTTCAATGCCAGAGATGCTGTCTTCCATCTCTTATATTCTGTTGGTGAAGCTTGCCCTTGTAGTGCCTGTTCAGATTCCTAATTTTCCATTTCCAGACTTGCCTCAGTCTGTGTTTTCTATTGCTTATATTTCCATTTTCAGGTCTTGAGCAGTTTTATTCATTGTCTTCAACTGTTTGTATTTTATTGATTTTCTTTAAGGGATTTATTCCTTTCCTCCAATTGTTTGTGTTTTCCTGGATTTCTTTTTTTTTTTTTATAAAGATTTTATTTATTACATATACAATACAGTGTTCTGCCGCCATGTATACCTGCATGCCAGAAGAGGGCACCAGATCTCATTTTTAGATGGTTGTGAGCCACCATGTGGTTGCTGGGAATTGAACTCAGGACCCCTGGAAGAACAGTCAGTGTCCTTAACCTCTGAGCCATCTCTCCAGCCCTTTCCTGGATTTCTTTAAGGAGTTTATTCATTTTCTCTTTAAGGACATCTGTCATCTTCATATAGTTGTTTTTTTAGGTCTTTTCCTTGTGCTTCAGCTATGCTGGACATTTAGGAACTGCTGAGGTAGGATAGCTGGGCTCTAGTGGAGACATACTGCCCTGACTGTTTTGATTGTGTTCTTCCACTGTTGCATGATTGTAGGTCTAGGTGCTGATTTCTGGGTTTGTCTTTGTTGGGTGGGGGGTTTTGTTTCTTGCATTGTTTCCTCCCTGGATGTTTGGAGAGTGTGGTGGCTGTGTTGCCTGTTTTACTGCTGTGCCCAGCTGGCATTCACAGGGAAGGCTCTGCTGATGTTGGAGGCTGGGATGCAGCGACAAGTGAGGAGGGACGGTCTGTGCGATGCACAGATGTGGGGGGAGAGGGCTGCAGCTGGTGTTCTGTTGCAGCACTAGGGATGAGACTGAGGGATTGGGTCTGGGGCAACAGAGAGAGCTGAGAAGGTCTGTGGGCAGCCTATGGGTTTCTGAAAGGCATGGCCTCTTTTGAGTAAATGTAATCATTTCAAATCTTTTTGTTTGTTGCTTTTGTTTTGTGAGACAGGGTTTCTATGTGGAACAGCCCTGCAGTCCTGAACTTGCTTTGTAGACCAGGCTGACCTTGAACTGAGAGATTTGCCTGAGATTAAAGGTGCAAACCACCCGCCTGCTATAATTTTGAATTTAAAATGTCTGATTTGCTGGATAACAGTAAGAGGTACTACCCCTGGAGCAGACAGTGATTCTCATACTGTTCCTCCAAGCCTGTGACTATGTGTCTTCCAGAGTACATCCTGTCACTCATCGCTGTTGAGTGAGAGAAGCCAGGAACATGTATTTACGAATCTGGCTAACTCTTCTGTTTCAGAGCATGAGTTCCAAGGTCGACAAGATGGGTTGTTTGAACCATCCCAATGTTTTTCTCATGTTTGCTTTTGAAAAATAGGCTTTCAGTTAGGCCAGGCCAAGCGATACTGGACTATGATACCAGCTATTACAAGAGACTGAGGCAGGAGGACAGTAAGTTTAAGGCCTTCTTGGGCTATGGAGTGAGTTCAAGGCCAGCCTGAACAGCTTAGTGAGACCCTATCTCAAAGAGTATATAAAAAAGAGGACTGGAGATGTAGCTCAGTAGTAGAGTGTTGGCCTAGCCTGTGTAAGGCCTTGAGTTCAATGCATAGTATATAAAAATGTATAATTTCTATATTACAGAAAGGCTCACAGCTGTTTCATGCTGTGTTCAAATAAGTGGCTGTCTGTTCTATTATCGGGCTCACCGAGAGGGTCTATCTCCAAAATAATTCCTTCCTATGAAATTTCTGAAGTTATATTGACTTCAGAGCCTTTTCTTTACCTGTGACCCTTAGGAAGTGGCTCCATTGAGAGGCTGAAGTTAAAGAAGTTGGGGTCAGCCTAGGAGGACTCAAGGATTTTTAATAACATGATCCTGTGTCATTAATGTTTCCAGTTGTTATTTAAAATTTTCAAGTACATTTGAATTTACAAAGGCTTGGTAGGACATTCATGAGTATACTTAAAACAAAAAAGTAAATGTAATTTCAATTTTACAGGAACAAGTCTTTGTCACCCTTTAGGAAGAACTGTGGTTTCTTTTCTTTGTACTGTGCCATTCATTTTTTCTTTCTGGCTTTGCACTTTCTCTTTTGAGAGTACAGGGTTCACTGGGTAGCCCCAGCTAGCCTTGTACTCAGTTTTTCTGCCTTGGCCACCTGAATGCTGGCTGTATGTATTCCGCATGCTCAGTCAAGTTTTTGACTTTTCTGGAAGCTAGTTTGTTTTTTTCATAAGACATCTCTTACCAGAACTGTGTTTGATTAAATTATTATTCCAGATGTGATTGTATGTATGCTTGTTTTCAGTTGGATACCAGATCAAGATTCAGAGGACGAAAAGGATATTGATAACATTATGGTAAAAGCAAGAAAATTACCCTGGATTTTCTCTGCTCCTTAACGGAAAAGAGCCAAAAGGAAACACAGTATCTGCTGCATCTGCTTGACATCTGGACCAGGTTCTCCCTCCAGAGAGCACTAGAGAAAAATGGATAAATGCTGCTTCTGAATGATTCTGTCTCATGAAGTCACTTACAGAAGATACATTTAATTGAACAATTTGGGCTAAGAATTTAATGTGTTTTGGGAATTGCCTACTGGAAAGATTATTTTCAAGAATGACGTCAATCAGATTACATGGTGTGTGCATCCAGGAGGCCATGTGACACAATTGGTGACATAGGACCTGTTGTCAGGGTTCTTCCAACTCCTGTTTCTTGGTTTCAATTTAATACAGCCCTCTCCTCATAATGGAATACTATCAGCCAATGTCCACACCCTTAAGATCTGTGTGGCCCAAAAAGGAGAGTGTGGCCCACAGATCACACCCCACTGAAGCACTCTGCTCTTTTCTGGGTCATGCTCCTGCTCCAGCCTTTATGATCTTAGCTAGAGCCTGGCCTCAGGTTCTGTGCCTACTCCACTCACAATCTCATTGGATGAGTTATGGGCCTCATCCCTAAACACTGGCAACAACAGATGTTCACTCTAGATAGCAAATATCAAAGTCATGATGTGATGACAAAGTTTAGAATATTGGCAATTTATTTTGATCACTTAACGCAGCAGAAACCCATCAGGAAGCTAAATTTCCAGTTTGATATTTGGCACTAAACAGTGGGAGTTGTAGTTCTTCATCACTGCAGAGTTCACGGGGGCTAAAGCAGTCAGGGACTGTGTAGTTGCCTTGCTGATCTCAAAGTGTGAAGCTGCGAGGATTCCCCAGAAAAACACTGAGCTCCACGGGAGTGGGGAATGATGCACCCTTTAGTACTGCTGCTGTGTACCACACTTGGCGTGTGTCTGCAGTGTGGAGGATCACGCCTTCTGCATGCTAGGCAAGTGCTCCACCACTGAGCTACACTCCCACAAGTGCTTCAACTTTGGTTGAAAGTAATTCTGATTAGAAACTGAAATATGTTTGTATAAAAAGCCTCTTTGTTAGAGATAGCTTTATTTGGAGAAATTCTCGACACAAAATTGGACCTTTGATTATTAGTATACTCATAGAGCATGTAGCAGTCGCCACTCTAATTCCAGAAGTTCCGTCACTTCTCTGCACTCGTTAGCAGTCTGTCCTCATTCCTCTCTCCGTTCTGCCCTCAGCCGCCAGTAATGGATTGGTTTCTATGGACTGTCTATTCCATATCTGTTAGTGGAATATTTAGTGTGGTCTCTTCTGACTTGCCACCAAGTTATTAACAGGTTTATTTTTGCAGCATCACTCTGTAATTCACTGCTGCTAAAATAGCATTCCGTAGTAGACGGACGCCATGCTTCTTTAACCATTGATCAGCTAGTGAGCTCTGAGCCGTTTCTACTGTGAACGTCTGTGAAAAGGTTCGACATGTTTCATTTAATACTTGCCTTAGAGTGGAGCTACAGGGTTGAATGGCAGCCTCCATCTATCATTTTCTACAGTGGTTTCACCACCATTTCATACTCTCAGCATAGCTAGGTTCAAGTATCCACATCACTGCTCACGCTGCTGGCCGACATTCTGCTTGGTATGAAGAGGCATCTGGAGAGATCTTGATTTGCATTTCTCTAAAGTCTAATCTGAGCGTGTTTTATGTGTTCATTGGCCATCTGTATGTTGCATTTGCAGTCTCCAGTTTGGTTTTCAGTTGTGTCTTTTCATTTTCCTGTAAGATTTTTTTTTTCTTTGTGGATACAAGTTCTTTAAAGATAACTTGCAATTTTTTCCTCTTGATACTCTTTGAAGCATACTTTGCATTTGTATGTGCTTTTGAAACTGGGTCTTAGCCCAGGCTGGCCTGGAAACTAGAGCAAGCAGTTTGACTGCTTCACTTCTCAAAATGCTGAGTTTATAGGCACAAGCCACCATGCTTGGCTGAAGAACAGTTTTAATTTGGGTAAATTACAGTTTTTTTTTTCTTTCAGTGTGCTCTAAGAAACCATCCTAACCCAAACTTACAGAAACTTACTTGTGTCTTCATTGAAGAATTGTAGATTTTTACCTCTTGCCTATAAGCCCATGCTTGCTTTCAAAATAATTTTTTTTTTTTTTTTAGACAGCATTTCTCTGTGTAACAACCCTAGCTGTCCTGGAACTTATAGACCAGGTTGGCCTCAAACTCACAAAGATTCACCTGCCTCTGCCTCCCAAGTGCTGGGATTAAAGGTGTGCACCACCACCGCCTGGCTTTGCTTTTAAATTATCCCCCCCTCTCCCCCCACAGGGTTTCTCTGTAGCTTTTGGAGCCTGTCCTGGAACTAGCTCTTGTAGACCAAGCTGGCTTAAACTCACAGAGATCCACCTGCTTCTGCCTCCTGAGTCCTGGGATTAAAGGCGTGCGCCACCACCGCCCTGCCTCAAAATAATTTTATACACCTTTATTTGTAGGCATATTTGAAGTTTTTAGTTAAATATGAATAGCAAAACTTAGCATCTTAAAGTGTATAGGTTAGTAGTGTTGAGCATTCACGCTGCAGTCAGTCTGCAGAATTCTTCGTCCACCTCACAAAATGTCAAGTAGCCCATGTTACCTCCCTGCCGCTGTCAGGTCATCCCTCCCTCCCTTGGCAAGTCTCTTTAGTAATCTCCATTCTACTTCCTGTTTCTGATTTGAGTACCATAAGTGCCTGGTTGGATGCAGTCTTAGCATGTGGGTTTTTTTTCAGGGATGGGATGGGGACTGGTTTATTTCATATAGCAAAATACATCAAGGCTTAGCCATGATGTATCGTGTATTTCTTTCCTTTGTAGGCCAAGTAGTATTGTAGTGTGTCCTCTATCCTGTTACCTCCTTCCTCAGCAGTGGACACCTTGGTTGTTTCCACTCTTGAGCTCCTGACTATTGCTGTGAACATGTATATACAAACCTCACTAGGACCCCACAGTTTTAGCGCACACCTAGCAGTCTGTGTAGTAGAGTAATCGTGTTTTATTTCGAGGCACTGCCTTACTTTCCGTAGCAGCCACACTAGTTTATACTCCCCCGCTTAGTGGCCCTTCTAAGGTTGTGAAGTCTCTACCAGTGGTTCTGTTTGGCATTTCCCTGATTAGTGGTGTCACGTGTTTTATAATGCTTGTTGGCCTTTATATATTATGCTTGTAGAAATCTCCTTAGGTCCTTGGCCCATTAATAGTGGGTTGTTGACTCAACCAGAGTTTTTGGTAGTCATATCCACAAAAGTATTGCCCCACCCAGTGGAGCTAATTATAGCTTGCTTTTGGGAATTTTAGTTTTAGCTCTTAGTTTTACTCTTTGATCCATTTTGAGTTAATCTCTGTGTGTGATGTAAGAGTCTGGCTTTCCATCCATCTCATGTAGGTATCTAGCTTTCCTCATTGCCCTTTGGTGGGAAACCATCCCACCATGCATGGCAGGGCTGTTTCTAAGCCTCAGCCTCTTTTTGTCTTGTGTCTTCATGCCATTGCCACTGTTTTGATTGATGGAACATTATAATAAAATTTGAAACCAAAAAGTGAGTCCATCTTTGTGCTTTTTTTAAGATTATTATTTTGGTTATGTGGAACCCTTTAAGAGTGTATTTCAGGATGGATTTTGTTTTCTGTCTCTAAGAAGTGCTGCTGACATGTGACTAGGGAACACATTAGCCTCCTGAGCACCTGGGTGCACTGACATCTGAACATGATTAACGCCTCCAGTCCACAAGGTACTTTTTCATTTTTTGGTGTCTGATGACATGATGAAACACCATGACCAAAAGCAAGTTGGGAGGAAAGAGTTCATTTCACTTACACTTCTGCATCCTAGTCCATAATTGGAGGCAGCCAGGGCAGGAGCTGATGCAGATGTCATGGACGGGTGCTACTTACTGGCTTGCTCTCCAGGGCTTGCTCTGCCTGCTTTCTTACAGAACCCAGAACCACCAGCCAAGGGATGGTACCGCCCACAATGGGTTGGGCCTTCCTCCACCAATCACTAATGAAGAACATGTCCTGCAGCTGGATGTAGTGGGGCCTTTTTCTCACTTGAGGTTCCCTCCTTTCCGATGACTAGCTTGTGTCAAGATGATACTATCTGATGAACATGATGGGGTCAGGGTGATGGGCACATGATGACTTCATAGTCATAGGATGACAAACCTACCTCCTTTCCTCCATAGTGGTTATATTTAATAATGAAAATTAAATTATTTAAAGCCTGCCGCTCAATGAAAAACCTGAAAAGGAAATTTAGAAGACTGACCAAGGAGAGACACTAACTACGACAGGTGCTCTTTCACTGTACCCGAGACACTTACTGTGCTCCTGCTGCCGCGCTGTGCTCCCGGGTGTGACCTCCTCTGACTAGGTGAATGTGGCCTCTTCTGCTGCATCTAGAATAACGTATGGTTACAAGGAAAGAAAGGCAACATAGTGCGGACATGGGAAGAACCAAATTAAACACTACAGACTCACCATTTATTCTTCACTTATCAAGTGTGTGTGTTCATAGGTGAGTGCATGTGTGCATGTAGAGACCGGAGGGAGCTCCTTTTTTTTTTTTTTTTTCTTTTTACCATGTGGATTCCAGGGAGCAAACTCAGAATGCCAGGCTGCATGACACGTGCTTTTGCTGGTGAGCCATCTTGCTGGCCCCTCATCCAGAATTACACTTGCCCTTACAGGTGCAAAGGTAAATGGCAAGACTGACCACACACACACACACACACACACACACACACACACACACATGATGGAGCTTTTAAAATAATGTAAATAAGCCTTTTATAAAAATGAGTAAAACACATTAACAAATTTAGTAAATTATAAAAATGAAAACAAATGATCAACTATTAAAAAATTAAATAATGAAAATTCTTAAAGGATTTTTTTTCTGAAGCGAAGTCACCATAGAGGCCTTTGAAAGGAAAAGATTATGAGGAGTTTTTCATATCACAGTGACCTGGGTGTGTGTGGGTGGAAAGTCAAGGGATGGATGGAAGAGTAAAGAGCTTCCTGACTTGATGGGATGATCTGATGGTTGCCCTTAGTAGCCAGGCTCACCTGGCTGAGAGGCCCGTTGGGATTAGCAGAGCTGTACTTCTGAGCGTGTAGGAAGGACACTTGCAGATGAGCAGTGTAGGAGAGGAACTAAAAAATCAGGCAGTGTGGGCAGCACCATCCAGTAGGCTGGGGCCCCGGATGGAACGGGAGCAGAGAAAGAGAAAGCCAGCCAGTGCTTCAGGCTCTAAGCAAGTTTCTGTTCCTGCTGCTGTTGCCTGTGGAGATCAGACTCAAGATACTTCAGTCTTTCAGCATGCACTCAGACCAGCGACGGTCCAAGGAGTTCCCAGGTCTTCAGCCTCGGACTGTATCATTGGCTCTCTTGTTCTGAGGCTTCCAGCCTTTTTGCTTCTTCTGCTAACAGATCTCAGCCTCTCCAAGTATGTAAGCAGCCACAAGTGTAAGTCAACTGTATGATGTGGTATTCGCCTCTGTATGCTGTAGAACAACTGGTTAATAATAAAAGAAAAAAAAAACCTGTCTTGGGCCTGCGCAGAGCAGAATAGAGGTTTTGGGGCTGAGCAGCTGGGAACAAACAAGTGGCCTCCTACAACAATTGTATAAGCCAACAAATCCTTTTATGGATGGACACACACACACACTTTATGTGGTTCATGTAGCTGAAGTTATGCATGGACACACACACACACACACATTCCCTTCTTTCTGTGGTCCATAGAGCTGAGTTGCCAAAACAATGTCCAGTTCTCATCATGCACTGGCTGACTTACAATGCAAGTCTTCCTGCTCAAAGGGTATCATTTAAAGTGAGGGTACAGGCTGGCAAAGAATGGGACCCTGCAACTTGCCGGAGAGGAGCTGATGAGGCTGGGGATACTGAACTCTCCAACTGTGGTGGATTTTACAGAGGAAGTGTCGTCCCTCCCCTCTGCCTGAGGGAGCTAATCTGCATGGTGTGTAGAAACTGTAATGTTCTTCCCCGGGAGAAGGACAGTGTGGCCATCCCACCACATACGTGCTGGGGATCTGAACCCAGGGTCCCACGCTCTCGTGACAAGAACTGGACTAATTGAACCACCGCTCAAGAAGCAAAATTAGGGTTGGTTGAGAGAAGGGAGTCACTCAAACCTAGTCAACTCTTCATACAGCATGGGCCTTAATTCCAGAGTAACTCCCGATGAGCTGGCCGAGATGTCAGAACGAAGTAAAGGGGCAGTGAGATGGCTTAGTGGGTAACGTGTGTAAGTGTACAGACTGGAGGTCGGCTACCTGTAATTCCAGTACAAGAGGCAGAGTACAAGAAGCGTTTGTGGGCAGGCTGGATAACGAAGTCTCGTTATCTGGAAGTGGCAAGCTCTGGATTCAGCAAGACCCTGCTTCAAAAAATGAAGAATGAGAGAGGAAGACATCTGACACCAACGCCTGGCCTCCACACCCACTCACACAGCCACATGTGGGCACACACCCATGAGAAACAAACATACACACACACAAAAACGATGCTAAAACACTGCAAATAAGAACAAGAGGACATTGAACAACAACAACACCACACCCTGGAGCAGGAGAGCCACGGGGCAGAAAGCACCAACAGTGTTGAACAGCACTGTATGCCAAGAAGGAGCTACTGCTACCCGAGTCCAGTCTTCCAACACCAGAGGCACAGTCATGCTTGGTGGAAAAGCCAAAACACCAAATGGAACATTTAATTACAGGGCTGGAGAGATGGCTCAGAGCTTAAGAGCACTGGCTGCTCTTCCAGAGGACCTGAGTTCAATTCCCAGCAACCACATGGTGGCTCACAACAATCTGTAATGATATCTGGTGCCCTCTTCTGGCATGGAGGTGTACATGCAGACACGCAGGAGGCACACTGTATATGTAATAAATAAATCTTAAAAAAAAAAACATTTAATTACAAAAACATTTAAGACTTATGTAGCCCTAACATAGATGAAGCCAAAATCCAGCTAACCAGCAGCTTTAATAGCTTCCACCTATAACAGGCGTTAACAGAATGCTTATTAAGGATTGTTAGAGACTTCACGAAATCACACGCATCAGTAAAGCAGACTTCTGATATCTGCAGAGGCTCAAAGGAACAGGACCTGAAGCAAGGCTCCATTGTCGTGTTGCGAGAAGAGCAGGAAAGCACTGGCTGTGGCAACAGAAGATTTCCAGACAGCCAAACACATTCATGTTGTTTGTGATTCATTTCCACGGTCAGCAACCGCCAAGGGAAGTTACTGGACACGCGGTCCTTGAAGGAGATGCCGACTAACGCCATGATGCTGGTGACACCGCAGCTCTGAACAGATGCTTCTGCGCAAGTCACACCATGGCGGCGTCCACAGACGGGGAGAGGCCGGGTTGTTCAGGGAAAGGAGACAACACACATGAACACATGAGACCAAGGTCCTCACAGTCACCTTCTGAGAGACCGACTGCTGTGGTCCACAGCTGACACACACAAAACGGTCTTAGGGAGATCCAACAACTTGCCCCAAGTCACTGACCAGTGAGAGACAGAACCTTGATTGGGGTCTAGTGCTGCCTGCCAATGTCCCTGTTCCTAACCACACATCCTAGTTTGAATTAAGTAAAAACATGCTTAAAAAGACCTTAGTCTTCCCCACTTACAAGCTATGAACCCTGGCAGCCAAGCCCAGTGGTAAAATGCACGGGTGCTGGCTGTGGACTTCCTTCCAGTGTAGGAGAAAGAATCGAGGGAGACCAAGTGTGATGTTCTTGTGAGTTTTATTATTTACCATTCTTAAGACAAGCACATTTACAGCATACATGGCTTTAAATGAGCTAAGAATATATAAAACAGTATATGTTCATATATATTAATACTGTCCCAAACAAATAAATAAAAGTATTTAAATGCACTAAGCGTGGCAAGTACAAGTGTGTGGGGATAAAACAGTATTCTACAATATTTTTACATCTTTAAAGGAAAGCAAAGGCAGCTGTGCTGCAGGAGCTGACAGGATCCACACGGCATTCCCAGCTGTCCAGACACCGCACATTCCTTTTTAAGTGGGGGCAGACGGTGGACAGAACGTCACTTTGTGGAAACCGGTAAAGCCATTTCCTACCTACAGTGAACAATTCAGCCTCTTGGGGCAGCCAGGAGCTGCCTGAGCCAGTGCTGTGCATGGTGCCCCTTCCAACAAGCCTGGGACATGAGTGATGCACTGGAAGCCAGTCACAATGCCTTCAGAGAAAACACTGAAGCCACAGTCCTTTCCGTGATTAACCAGGTCTTAGAGTTTTACAGTGACTCATATTATAAAACAAAAACAGAGAAAGTAATCCCCACGCAAAGCCGCTGACAGGGAGTCAGCTGTTGCTCTGTTCCCTTTGTAAGTGTGGACAGAAAGAAAAGCTGAAGAACAAGGAAACATTTGATTTTAAAGTCCAAAGAAATATTTTAAAAAGGCAGTGATGTCAAATGAGAAAAAAAATGAAACTAAAAACTTAGAGTAAACGGACCGAGAAAGTTCAAAGGC